TTTTTCCAAATACCTCATATTCATGTGAAAGCTGAGCCGTGAATAAGGAAGCCTGGAGAAGAATTGATGTATTTGAATTATGGTGCGGGGGAAGAATATTGAAAGTACCCTGGACTAACTGAACACATAGATCTGTCATGGAAGAAGTACATAGGCCAGAGGCATCCTTAAAAGCAAAGATGGTGGGACTTTGTCTTACATACTTTAGACTTATTATAAGAAGAATCCAGTCCCTAGAAAAGGACATTAAACTTGGGAAAGTAGAAGAACAGCTTACAAGAAAAGGCCCTCGATGAGGTGGATTGACACAGCGGCTGCAGCGCGCTCAAGCACGGCACCAATTGTGAGGGTGACACAGGCTCGGCAGCATTTTTCCTTCCGTTGTATGTGTATTAGTGGCAGTCAACTCGATGGCACTGAACAATAAATATCACATACAGTATTACACTGTATATACTATTACAACATATACATCCCCCTAATAATGCGACTAGGTAGCCCATTAGTGCCAGAGTTATTTACATGAACTTGATACTCCCTGGCTTAGAACCATGCATTACTTCACAGTTTATACATTAAATGAATAGTTAAAGAAGGAGGCTCTCACAACACTGTTAGTTTAAAGGACTGCTTGCAGCTTTGAATTTCTTGTTGAGTTTTATGGTGGCCAGTGGCGTCTCTGGTATTGGGATAAATGGGATGGCACCAGTTTCTTTAGATTCACTCAGTTATACAGGCCCCACTAGATGGCAACAGGCACAGAAAGTGGGATAAGAGATTCCCACTAAGCCCCAGGAAAGGAAAATGGATAGCTGGGCACTCTGTCTCGTGAGTCATGATAGAGTTAAAGGAGAACTTGAGTCAACCCTAAATAACTTCTTCTCCATATTCTCATTGTGGTATTTATTGGCTTACTCGTTAGCCAGTTTAAATACGTCCCTTCACATTTATTTTTTAGGTGTGATTTTGTATAGATTAATGAATTGGAACTAGTGGAATACTCGACGTATGGTCTTACTAAAAGTTAAAAACACACTTTATGACAAATTAAGCAGCTCTTATTTTGTAGCCATTGTCTTTTAAAGATAGACTGTTTTCCCTTTGGATGATTTTAGTGACAATTTCAATACATTTGTTATAGTTTAGTCACTGTGCTCCATGTGAATAACTTTTTCTCTGTATGGTGTTATAAACCTCTACAGAATAATGAAGTAAGCATGGTTTATTCTGTGTCACTTTTCTTTCTCCCAAGAACTCACCTTCTACAACTCAGCCTCACTCAGAAGCCAAGTGAGCAGGGCCAGGGGGTTGGCAATTGACTGCTGAAACATCAGTTCATTCATACAGGAAATAACCGTGCCTTGGAAATGTCCCGTACTTTGTAATTAACAGGGCTTGTGTAGCTGTGTTCAAGCCATTATGCTCACAACCTAGCAACAACACGGCGGTGTGAGAATCTCTGTCTTATCCAGAGTGGTAAGAGGACAGTAATGGAAGGCAAGGCTTTTCTTGCCAAGAAAGGAACATCGGTATAATGTACAGATTTTTCATGTGTGTTTAAGCGTCACATGTCTTCATGTTTAAGAATGAGATCTCATGTTAAATAAATTAATTCCCTATACACTTCTCCTTCCAGCATGGACCAGATTGTCTCTGTCCCATTTTACAGTGACTGGTGGAGAATTACTACAGTCTTTGATGTTAAGAAGGTCCCAGTGACTCCGTTCTTAGGGGCTGGTCCTCAGATCGTGGGGTAAAATAAAGGTGTTTTGGTACTGGATATAAAGAAGTGGACAAAGGAGTTTGTTCCCATGTACTAACATTGATAATTGACTTAAAGAAGAAAAAGGACCGCAAGACATTGTTAAGTAGCAAACAAACTACCGTGTATACTCTCGTATTAGCCGACCCAAATGTCACCCGAGGCACTTAATTTTACCACAGAACTGCATTAAAAAATGTGCTGAAAAACTCGGCTTATACACCAGTATATATGGTATACAAATGAGAGGGTTAAAAATGTTAAAAGGAGCAAGAGGACTTCAGGCTGGGGTGGTCAGGGGAAACTTTGGAGAAGCACGTGGAACGTTTATGAGCCCTGAGAAGTGGGACGGCGATCAACAGCACTGGAGGGGTAACCATGTAATTGGTTGGAGGTCATTGAGGTAGGCATTGATGTGGCATGTTAAAGGGACAGTGAGGAGCCGGGTAAGGCCATAGTGTTTAAGGCACAGGCTTTTGAGCTTGACTGACTGGGATCAGGCCTCCTGGAGGTTTCTTAACCTTCCTTTGCCACAGATGCCTCATAAAATAATAAAAGAAGATGCTATTGTAACTATCATTGGGATATTGGAGGAATTCGAGGATAATACCTCAAATAGGAATTAATCATACCTTCAAATAGACATTAATTTCTTCAAATAGTAATTAAGTATGTAATTACTAAAGAAGTGCAGTCTAAGTGAGCTCACTAAGGGAGCAGATATCAGGACGGCTTATAGTTTATAGCAAGGGTTATAGATGGTTCATAAGTAGGGAAATAAGATCAGTGTAGTGTTTGGTGGAAAATAATATAGCAGGATAAGTTGAAGAAGAGACTGGTAGCTGAGTGGTTATTGTAACTGCCACACTTGAGGCATTTAAGACCAGAACTGAAATGACTGTGCATTTGGATTAGGAAGAAGGGACAGGTGTGAGAAACACTGTGAAACCATGATTAGACTCTAGGAACTGACTATTAGGGACATGGAGGACAAGCATTGTGCTTGGGTTAAGTGGGAGTTTTCAAACACCTAGGAGCTTTTCAGAAGATTGGTAATAGATACCTGAGAGGAATTCCATTTTAGGTGTCTTGAATTTACAGACAATAGGAGGATTTGGCTTGGAAATGCAAAAAATCTCACAGCCATCAAGTCAGTTTTGACTCACAGCCATAGAACAAAGTAGAGCTGCCCTCTCTGGGTTTCTGAGGCTAAAAATCTTTACTGGAGTAGAAAGCCTCATCTTTTTCCCTTGAAGAAACTGGTGGTTTCAAACAGCTGACATTGAAATTAGCCCAGTAAGAGAAAGCACATGTCCAAGAGAAGGGAAACCAGTTTCTCGCCAGCCCATCAAGTGCCACTTCTCAGATGGAGTGCCAGTCAGAGCACTTCAGGCGACGTGCTGAGTGTTTATACATGTATAAGTGTTTCTGCATGGTTGAGTATATCAGTAGTTGTACACCATTGCAAACTGGCATTATTCTGGGGGAGGAGAATTCTATGGTCAATTATCCTACTTAATTTTGCCCATTACTAACCACACTTTTAATATGAATACTGTCAACACACTTATTTTCAAATACACTGTTAATTTGTGTTATTTGTATGTTTTTTTTAAGCTGTCCCTTTTTTAACCTTTTTATATGTGTGCCTTTTCTTTTCCATTAGATTTTAATTTCCTGTTTGTAAGGAGCCATCCATTTTTGGTCTGAATCATTCACACAGTTTTCATAGTCAGTCATTTACTGATTGATACCAATTCACTTAGTTCATTCACTTTAGACACTGTCTATTGCTAGGCTGCTGACTAAGTCATCGTTCCTATCTTCAGGCAGCTAACAATCTAATTATGGAAGAAAAGATATGGAAATACATGGTAGGAACTAATAAAAACAGTCCCAGAAAATCATGGTAACAGAGAAGGGAAACATTTCATTTGCCGTATGTAGAGGTGACAACGAGGAGAGGTAGTTTAATGATGATTTTTTGAAGGGAGTAACTTCTGGGATGAATCTTAAAAAGGAGTAATTAACAGAAAAGCAGGAAGGAGGAGTAGAAAATAGCATTACTGGCAGCAAAGGCAATTGATGCATAGACTCAGTTCACCGAGACAAAGGATACCGTTTGGTGTTATGCCACAGAAAGTGAAAGAAGAGAGCGTGGGGACAGGCAGGGACCTTGGAGGGACTTATGTGCAGTGCTTAGAAACATGGACTCTGTGCAGTATTCCAAGAAAAGGGAGGTCAGGTCCTTAAAGTGCTCTAAACAGAGTTAGAATTGTGATTGACTGTGGGAAGGATGACGTTAGGGGTCAGACATTTGGGTGGCTAGTTGAGGTGTGAGAAGATGAAAACCTAAACTGGAACTTTTAAATAGGAATGGAGGGATAGACAAATTCAGGAAGTCCTTGTGATGTGAAACCAGCAGGACCTGTTATTGCCAAAGTGGATAATGATAGGAAGGATCGAAAATTATTCTTAGATTGGAAGCTACTTTCTATGACTGCATGACTTGTGGCACAGTGTTAAGAGTACAAGAAGAAAGATGAAGATGGGGCTTTTTTCCTCTCATTAAGAGTTATAGACTCAAAAACCCACAGGGGCTATTCTGCCCTGTCCTGTAGGCTTGCTATTGAGTCAGAATTGCCTCCATGGAAGTGAGTTGGGGAGCGGGGGGGGAGGGGTATGTTTGGATGATATATTTGAAGTTATAACTGAAATTAAGATTTAGTAAAGATGTCTGAATGACAGGACTTCAATATTCATCCTAACCTAACCGACCTCCTCTTGGAAGCCGAGGTTAATATTCTGCTTTTCTGACTACACCTGTAGTATACAGCTGTCATGATCCTTCTCACTGTGTGGAAATCCGAGATTCTTCTCTGTTTATCCCAGTGTGTGCCACATCAGGGCCATCAACAGGGCCGCCAACACAGAGTGACCATGGAGGACCCGGACAATGCCCCTGTGGGTTTCTAGACTGTAACTTTTAACAGGAGTAGAAAGCCTCATAAGGTTGCCCATAAATAGGAGCAAGTGAGTTAATGATTTAGAAAACGTTTTTATGTGACTTGTTTTACTGGATTGACGCAGTCGTTGCAAAAATAGGCTCAAGCATAACCTGTGTGCAGATGGAGCCTGACTGGGCAGTGTTTCCTTGCGCTGTACATCGCAGAACCACGAGTTGAGCCAACTGGACAGCGCCTAACAACAACTGATTCTTCTGTGTTTCAACCCTCAGCACCTTTCTCTGGAAGAATCTCAAACAGTGCGGCTTCCTCAGGGGCAGTAGCACCAGCCAACCCAACTGTGGGGCAGCCCCAGGCAAGTGACCAGGATACTTTGGTGCAGAGAGCTGAGCACATCCCAGCAGGAAAGCGAACTCCAATGTGTGCCCACTGTAACCAGGTCATCAGGTGGGTATATTGTATACAGGAAGTTTCTTCAATATGCACCATACCAATGTTGATCCTTCTTTTATCCTGGGAGATTTGAAATATTATCAATGAAAATATTCTTGCCATCTTTCTGTTTAATTCTTATTATTAACATGTGTAAATATGAACATATACTGTTAGAATCTATTTGAAACTTAAAAGGATCTTAAAAGTCACTTATTGAAACTTTGTGGGATTTTTTTTAACTTTGTTATTTCATAAAGTATAAAAGTGAGGACTTCAACTTAAATGGAAAAATAACTACTAATAACTTTGGCCCTAGAGAAAAAAGATTGGCTTTTCAAATACCTTTGGGTCCTGGGTGTCACCAATGGTTAATAAAATCAACTGCTAATGAAAAGACTGGAGAAAGGCCTGATTACCTACTTTTGAAAAATCAACCACTGAAAATCTTGTGGCGCGCTGTTCAAACTCTGACTCTCAGTAGGTTGCCATGAGTTGGAATTGACTCGATGGTAACTGGTAAGCACTGGGAAGATGCTGCTATCTTCGAGTCCTTTCATGAAGGCTTTAAGTATTAGAAAAGGTCATAACCTGCTTCCCTAAAATATCCTTGTTCCGATCTATTTTATTGTGTCTTAAGTTCCAGAGGGAAAAATAAAAAGCTCAGACCTGAAGTTGAGCATACTTATTCTGGCACTTATTTAAATCTCTGAGTTTTTCTTAGTCAAAAAGCTGTTGCCATCCAGTCAATTTCCAACTTACAGGAGCCATACAAGACAGAGTAGACCTGCCTTCAAGTTTGTGAGACTGTAAATCTTCCTCCCATGGAGCTTCTGGTTCAAGCCAGTGACCTCTCAGTTAGCAAGCAACCAAGCACTTAACTACTCTGTCACCAGGTTTTTAGTCTGGGTACTTTAGAGAAACAAATCCACAGAAACATCTATAAGAGAGAGTTTTACATAAAGATTAAGTGCGCATCAAGAAAACATCCCAACCCAGTGCTGCCCAAGCCCACAAGTTCAACATTAACCCACATGTCCAACACCAATCCACAAAGTCCTCTTCCATCTCACAAAACACACACTCTGAGCCGACTGCAGGAGGAAAGCCGAGTCAGTGAATGTGTAAGCATCTCAGCACTGGCAGGGGTCTCCACACGGCTGCTCCAGCACCCAGGGCTGCATCAGGGTAGGTTCATGCAGCTTCTCCTCTGGGATGTCTTGCAGGAAGTGAGCCTTGCCAGCTGAAGCAGGGAACTGGCTAAGGCAGTTCCTGGTCCGAATATCAGAAAACAGGAGACCCGAGAACTAAAAAGGCGAGGCTCATTGAGCCATTTATCCCTCTGCCCTTCAATTAACCCCACATGTGTTTATCGGCAGGTTGGCACAATAAACTTTAACTAGCTCACCAAGACTCCTGTTTCTTCCTAGACTGTAACTGTACAGGAGTAAAAAGCCCTGTCTTTTTCTCACAGAGTGGCTGGTGAAACCTAGTCCCCTCCTTGTCCATGGGGTATACCTTCCAAGAGCTCCATAGGATGCCTGAAAATGAGATAGTCCCAAACCCTATATACCCTGGATTTTTTCATATATGTATATGTGTGTATACCTCTGATAAACTTTGATTTATAAAATAGGCACAATAAGAGAATAATAAGAAGTAACACTACAATAAAATAATTACTAAGTACAATAACAGTTACTGGAACACCAACACTGATGTGTGGCTGTCTCTCTGACAGCTGAAAGGCAGGTAGCGTACACAGCATAGACGCCCTGCGGAAAGGGATGATCCACGGCCCAGGCAAATCAGTGCAGAATGACACAAGCTTTCATCGCGCTGCTCAAAGTGCCATGCAGATTTGCGAATTTGAATAGTTTATTTCTGGAATTTGTATTTAATGTCTTTGAACTGCATTTGACCATGGGTAAGTGAAACCAGGGGAAATTTGCATAGCTATAAATGTTGACTGCAAGGATCCCACCAAAAAGACCTATTGCCTGTTTGTCAACAGTTGCATATAGGCTGCCTGGATGCTTTAAAGTGCTTCCCCAAGCTCTCCTGTATTTTATTTATCCTGTTGTTATGAAAAAAATTGAAATAATGGCCACTTTAAAGTTGACTGAGTTGACAAATCGCATTTTCCCTCCTTCATTGTATAATTTCTGTTTAGGATAGTGTTTCTGAGTGTGATAACTTACATAGACATCAAGAAGCCATTTTAAGAGCCTGACATCGGTAACATAACATGTTCATGGACACTTACTAAGAAGAAGTTCTGACAAAATTGAAAACTGCATTGGTGGAGAACAAACCAGGAAAGTTGGACCAAGGAATTTTTTCCCCCATTATGATAAGGCACTTACTTGTTCATTGTCCTTGTGGTAGTGAGAGCTGTCTTTTGAGAATTTCACTGGGAAACCTTACCCCACCCACCCTCTACCCTAGATCTTGCCCCTTCAGGCTTCTTTTGGTTCCCAAAACTCAAACTCAAAATATTTAAAGGAACATGTGCCCTGACATCTGGATTCTAAGGAACATCGTGGCTGTACTTCTCCAAAAATAGATTTATTTGTTCTTTTGGCATTCCACGGTGAATTCGATATGCTTCAGCAGCACCACAATTCTAATGCATAATGCATCGATTCTTATTAGGCCTTGCTTATCAGAGCCCAACTTTTCATGTGCATATGATGCAATGGAGGATACCATGGCTTGGGTCAGGTGCACCTCAGTTCTCAAAGTAACATCCTTGCTTTTCACACCTTTAAGGAGGTCTTGACCAGCAGGTTTACCTATGACAATGCATCATTTGATGACAATGCATCATTTGATCTCTTGACTGCTGCTTCCATAAACATTGATTGTGGATCCAAACAAGACGAGATCCTTGGCAACTTCAGTCTTTTCCCTTTTTTATCATGATGTTACCTTTTGGTCCAGTTGTGAGAGTTTTGACTTTCTTTATCTTGAGTTGCAATCCATACTGAAGGGTGCAATACTGGAAGACTCCTAAACCCAGTATTAATTACCAAATACATCAATAACACAGTGCATAGTCGATTAAAAATAGAATATCTTTTTAACAAGCTACACTATGCTTATAACATTTCACACATATAAAAAAATCAAAAGCAAAAACAAAAGTTTATGTTACCCTACCTTCTAAGATAACAGTGATTAGTATTTCAGTTCCTACTTTTTTTTTTTCCCTACTTTTTTAAAAAGACACTGACCTAAGGACTTTTCCAGAAATTGAATCACAATACAATGTTTTGTAACCTGACAATTAATATAGCAAGACTATCTTTCTATTAGAAAAGATGGATCCAGTTTATTTTTGTGTGTGTGTGCCTAACAGTGTAACATTATAGGAATGTTCTTTAAGTTATTTAGTTATATTTGATTCCTGGAAATTAATGTGGCTTCTAACACTCAAATATTATGAACAATGACTTGTAGGTTATTCATACAAATATTTCCTCTGGAAAAATCAATCACTGTAGGTAGAATTGTTAGGTCATTGTACCCAAGATACACTTGTTTTAAATTTATAATTAAATTTTATGAGAAAACGGTTTCTACTCTCAACATATAATTCATTATTAGAGATACCAATTTTTAAAATTATAAATTTTTCTGTAAGTTCCAGTAGGGAGTTATGGCCTCATAGAAATATTAACTAACCCCTAACTGAACTGCCCTCAAGTCGATTCTGACTCAAAGCAACCCTATAGAACAGAGTAGAACTGCCCTTGTAGGTTTCTGAGTCTGTAACTCTTTATAGGAATAGAAAGCCTCATCTTTCTCCTGTGGAGCGGCTGATGGTTTTGAACTGCTGGCCTTGTGGATGTTTAATATGTAGGTATCTCAGGGTCCAAAGGATACACTCTATGTCTGACTCTTCTCTGGTGCAGCTAGTGAGATTTCAACTCCTGCTTCTCAGAAGGCTGATTTTATACTCAGCAGAGTGGAAATCACAATTAACCCTGGTAGCCATCACTCACAACTGAATCATAATACCATCAGTATCTCCACCCACCTTCTTACCCAGACCCATCAGAAAAATGAAGGTCATTTGATGGCTGTAACTAGATGAGCCATATTAAATAATTCTGTATGTACAGTTTAGAAAACATTGTTTCTGTAATTTATTGTCCCTTTAGTTTCCTGGGCTTTTGTTTCAGGATAATATATTCTGGGTAAAAATACCTTTTCTGGAAACATCAGTATGTTGGTGTTAAAATGATGTTTTCAGATAATGATAATAATAATCAATATTTAATGTCTCCTTAGCACATACGAAAGGTTATGCTAATAATTCTACCTTCATTCTATGAGATAGTTGTTGCTGGTCCCTCCATTTCAATGAGGACATTGAGGCAGGGAAAGTGACATACATGCCTGAAGTCATAGAAGTAGTATATAACAAAATTTGAATTGGAGCCTTGTCTGTATAACTTTTAATTTTATCCTTGTTTTTCTTACAGCAAAGTTTTTATAGCATTATAAACTCAAAACTTAACTGCCATGGAGTCGGTGTTGACTCATAGTGACCCCACAACCCAGCCGCCCATGGGTGCCGAGACTGTTTACAGGAGTAGAAAGCCCAGTCTTTCTCCTTCACAGCTGCTGGTAGTTTCCAACTGCAGACCACGTGGATCAAAGCCCAAAGCATAACCACTACACCGCCAGAGTACCTTTATACTATTACAGAAATATGAGATCAGAAATATAGAATTCTAAATAAATTATTTCAATGTATAAAAAATAGCAATGAAATATATGTTAACATCAAAGATAATTCCTCAATAAAATTTTGAGCTCCTTGGCAGAATACCAAATACGTTCAATATAGAACTGTTAATATTAAAGATAGCAGCTCTATATTGAACTTATTTGGTATCATGCTAGGGAGTTTTAAATTTTACTTTATTCAGTCTTCAAAAATCACTAGGAAGTGGATATTTTTGCTCTGCCCATTTTACTATAGTTTTAATTGTTTTTCCCAAAGT